GAGAGGCAGAGAGAGAGAGAAAATGAGAAAGGAAGCCACCAGGTTCGGGACTCAAACCATGGTCAGCCATGTGAGAGTCCAGCCCTTAATCACCATGCCACCTGAGAGCCCCAAGTATTTTCATGTTTTAAATTTTCTTCTCTTGCTTACTGTATGTAAATCTACAAGGTAACTTAAATCTTTTTTCCTTCTTTAATTGCTAGAGAGCACATAAACTACAGAGAGAGAAAGCGAGAGAGGGAGACAGTACCCCTAACAGGGTGTGGCCGTGCTGTGACTCCCTTGCCTCCATCCATCTCTTAATCCTGTCAGGATTTGGGACACATATGCATATGCGCCTGATGTGTTTTTCTAGCTGCCAGGGCTGGACTGCAGTTGGTCACGTGCAAACTGGCTCCCAATGAACAGTGTTCGACCACTGTGCTACAGGGCTGGCCCATTAATCTTTTTTAAAAAGTTTATTTATTGTCTCCATGAGAGAGAGTGAAAGAGAGAGAGACTTTCAACAGGGACCTCATACCATGATCCACAACCAGTCTCAGCAGGTCTGGATCACCGGCACAAACACACATCTTCAGTGCTCAGGGAGGTCCTAGGACACAAACTCAGGACCTCTCCCATGTGGGTCTACTGGTGTTACCACTGCACTGCCACCTGGCCCCTTAAATCTCCTATTTTTTTTTTGAAGAGAAATTTTTGCTGTAGGGCATGTGGGCTCATGGCATGTGTGCTCACTGGAAACACAGGGAAACAGAGAGAGTGAGAAATCACCCCTTGGGGGAGAATGGCCACAACACAATCTCTTCTCCTCCATTCTCCTCTCAGGACTTTGGGCATACATGCACATGTGCCTAGCATGAGTTTAAGTCACCAGGCTCGAGACTTGAACCACAGTCAGCTGTGTGGGAGTCCAGTGCCCTAACCACTACGCCACCTGCTGGTACCTTAAATCTCCTTTTAATGGGATGCCTCTAAATAAATCACAGTCTTGTTTTAATGGGTCAAATTGTAAAGGGCTATTCTTACTAGGAAGTCCCCAATTATCGGAATCTTTATCCAGAACGGCAAAGACAGGTGAAACATAATGACAGGTTAGGAGAAACTTGGGATCTGCCTCATGAACTTTCTATCTGTAGGAATGAAGGAAGCTATAAAAATCCCCAGGACTCTGAGAAGGTCAGCTCTCTGCCAGGCAAGCAGCTGGCCTGGGTTGGCATCTGGAAGCCGAAATGGGTGTGCATGTGGGTGCAGATGGCCTATGATTCGAGGCTTGCTGTAGACTGAAAGTGGAGGTGAATGACAGCGGGTTCAGGAGGGAGGGAATTTACAGGGGCAAGCTCCGGGAGTACTAGTGGGGTTGGAAGTTCAGAACAACTGAGAACCAGCAAGAGGAGCGGGAGGTCTTGGGAGCCGGAGCCTGGGAAGAACCCCAGAAGGTAAGAGGAGTCCATGGAGAGGGTGGAGAGCTGCCAGACCAGTGATCACAGACGTAGTACTAAGAACCATGAACCTGGGCAATTCCACACCAAGTCTTTTCTTGGAGCGCAGAAGTCATCTGGGATGAGCTCTCTCCTGGAATCTGAATGATGCAGGTGGAGTGGCTTCTGAGAAACAGGGAGACCGAGGAGACAAGGCACCAAAGGATGAGGAAAGCTCCAAGACTGATAAGCAAGAGGCAAAAAAGCTATCCCAAGCTCTGCAGGCCTGAGAGATGGGGTAAGAGTGGGTGCTCTGGAACCAGAGGTGGATCTTAGCTCTGCCCACACTGGCTTTGGGACCTTGGGCAAGTTCCCTAACCTCTCTGCACCTCACTTCCATCAGCTGGAAAGGAAGACTAAGAATGTGCCCTGCCTGGCTGCGGAGAGGATTAAATTAGTTAATACTAGGAAAGCACCTGGAATAGAGCCAACACGTAGTGAGTGTAGTCAGTGTAGCCACAAGGGCCTTCCTTCCTGCAGGGGCACTAGTGCTACATGACCCCTTGGCACCCCTTCTGAAATGCTCCCATCTACCTTTAGTCTCCCTCTGCAGCCACGAGCAGGATTCTCCCCAGAGGAGTTTCTGCTCTTGCCTTTCCAGCTCTAAACCCCAAGGGTGTATGGCTATCCTGTGCCCAGGCAGGTAGGTGCAGATACAAGTGCCAGGTCAGGGTTGAGTACGAGGTGCAGACCTAAGGCCCAGCACTTGGCCTCTGCCTCAGTTTCTCCTGAGGTCTCTTCCCCCGTAGGCCAGCACACAGCTGCATAGATCACTGGTCACAAGGCCACCAACATGCTGGGTTTCTACTCCTGCCCCAAAGCAGAGGGCCAGCATTTCCTGTGTCCTTCAACCCACCCCATCCCTGTGCTGTTTGGAAGGGGTCAGGTCTTTATAAATAGACAGTGAGGGGTCCGGGTGAGAAGCCACTGCACACCACCAGGCATAATCCCTGTGCAGCTGTCCCAGCCATGGAAGAACCTGGAACCTTCTCCCAGGCCACAACTGCTCTTCCCTGGAGACCAGAGAAATATTGTCGACAAGGCCCTGCTTATAAACACAGCTATGTCCTCTGCCTGATGTATTGAGAGGTGCTCAGTGAATTCACACGAAGTCGCTTCTGCCAGGAATCCTTATCCCGGGCAGCAAGAGGCTGGGAAGACAATGCCATGGGGCGAGGTTTCTATCCTCTCTTCTAGCCTCACCTCAACTCTGGTCCTTGGCGGCAAGGGTTAACAATATACCACATAATGGATACATACAAGGTGTGTGTGATCACTACTTTTGTCCTTTTCAAAAAAATGCCACTGGCCAGCTAAGCTTTGGAAACAGAGCTCCACAACTGAATCCCATGGGCCGCAGCAAGAAAACAGACCGAGAGAACCAAGAACAGTGGGCTCTGGCCAGGCCTCCCACAGCCAGCAATAAGTGTAAAGAAACACAGGCTGAAAATTCCAAGCCTGGGTCGCTAAGGCATTTGTCTCCGTTGAGTTTCAAGAGGCCAAACCACACACACGCACAAGGGCACATGCACACACATGCACACACACACACACATACATACAGGCACACGGAGCTTGGCAGCCCCTGAGATCCAGAGCTGGTAACACAAGCCACGGAACCGACTGCCAAGACAAGCAACAGAACGAGCCAGGCCCAGTTTCATTGGCCACCATACGCTGCATATGGCCCGGGATGCAGCCAAAACAGTGTTCTCACCCTCCTCAAAGGCATAGGAGACCCTCTGTTTTCAAACACACCTCCACAGAGCCTTAATTAAAGGAAAATGGAAAAATAATGTGCCTGCTGCTCTCCCCCTGCCTATGTAGGTATGCACATACACATACCCTTACACACTCACTCTATTTTTCTCTTCCTCCCATTTCGCTTTCAAACATAATTCATTCCCATGGAAAAAAAGCAAACTGCATCCTGCAGCAGAAAAGCAGAAAAGAATGTGGCTTGCCCTCAGCCCTGGCTCCGATTACTCAAGTGGAGCTGGGGCTGAATGACTACAGAGCAGGCCAGCCTCATCTGCTCTGGCCCTTTCCTTTCCAGAGTGGAGCTGAAAACGGAGACACTCTAGAAAGAGAGAGAGAGCCCATAGCAACACCCGCAGCCCCACGACGAACAAGGCCTGGAGAGCCTAGCTCTGCCAAGGATTTGGCAGGTTGGAAAAGATGCCTACGCATCCTGCTAACAGGTGGAGAGACAAGAGACCCAGAAAGACAGGAGGAGTGTGCCCAGGTGGCCACTAAAGCTAGGCAGTGGGTGGGTAGGGAGACCCTTCTTATCCAAGGCCTTCCTGGGGACATTGTCACCACTTATGGACACATCTTCTTAGAGAAAAGCCACACACTCATGCCTTCCTGCAGGCTCTAAACTACATAGCACCCAGCTCTTCAGGAAGATTCTGGGGCTGCCTGCAGCTCTGAATCAAAGCCAAAGGAGAAGGGGAACAGAAGAGTCTTTGAGAAATCATCCTCCCTCTTTTAAACAAGGCAAAACCTCAACCACCCAGAGGCATGAGAATAGATCTTGCTTCTCTCCCCTGGTCTTTGGGCTTATATAAAACCAGAGCTACATTTGCACCTGATCGCTGGGTAAACTCTCCCCTAGAAACCTGCCCAGAAAGATAAGCCTCCATCCAAGCACTGCCAGATTCCCCAGGAAGGTGAAAGCAATGGGAGGTGTCTCACAAACCCTCCAGGAAGGGAGATACCTGAACACAGGTCCTAGCAAGGCCTTAAAGGACAAGCAGGTACCCATACATGCTGCAAAGCCTCAAGGCTTCTGATGCTCCTCACACTAAGATCCTGGGGAGACCCCACCACTTACACACGCCCACACAGACTATAAGCGTTTCTGAGACACGGACCTGAGTACATCTGCCCTGCGCACACATGGCCAGGCCATCGCCCCATGCCCTAGATGCCACTAGGGAGGGCACACTGGACAAGAGTCAGGCAATCTCGCAGCTGGAGCTGACCCAAGGGGCCAGCTGATTTCCTCTCCCATCAGCCTCTTAGCCCCACGCGGCCCATCCATCGCTGTAAAAAAAGCCCTGACTTTCAGGCCCCTCCCACTGACCCAAGCAAAGCCTGGCTCTGCCACCCCAGGGTCTAGGTGGAAAGTCCAATCCCCAAGCCTCCTTTGAGCAGAGGGGCAGAACACAGTCTTCTAAACTGAGTTGGACAGGGGAAAGGCTCCAGCTTGCCTCCTTATGTAACCTGGCCTGGGAGATGCGGGAGCCCAAAGCGGACCCAGGACCTCTAGATCTCTCCCAGGCCAGAACCTGATGCACTGACCCTTAGAGAAGCCCTCTTCACAGGGTGGAAATCTCAAGCCCTCCTCCAGGTCCTCCGGGTGCTCTGCTGCCTCCTTGAGAAGGAGGCGGCTGGCATGACTTGCCAGCAGGTCCCTCATCCCTCCACCACCACCACCTCCCCGCACCTCCCTGGCCTTTGAAGCGTCCATTTCCACCCCCACGGCCCGTCTCCCCGGGCAGTTTTCTCCCCACTCACCCCGCCTTCCCCGCAGCCCGAGGAGAGCACCTCCCTGCAAACAGACTGGGGAGGAGAGCGCGAGAGGGAGAGAAGGGAGCGCCCCGGCTGCCCAGGGAGCAGACGGAGGAGCCTCCTGTCCCGGGACCGGAATCAAAGGGAAGCCACCGGTTCCCGGCGCCTCGCGGGAGGGGCCGGGCTGCAGCGCCCCCCACGGGAAAACGCTGGGGGTC